AGGAAGATCCATCGAGACATCAAGGCAGGAAACATCCTGCTCAACACTGAGGGACACGCCAAACTGGCAGACTTTGGCGTTGCAGGACAACTAACGGTAACATTTTAGCATTTGTCTGACATAAAGTTATTGTTCTTGTAAAATTTTCAAAACCTTGAATTTCACAATAATAACAGCTTTGTTTGTTTATCTCTGAAGGACACTATGGCAAAGAGAAACACTGTGATAGGTACTCCGTTCTGGATGGCCCCTGAGGTGATCCAGGAGATCGGCTACAACTGTGTGGCTGACATCTGGTCCCTGGGCATCACGTCCATAGAGATGGCAGAGGGCAAACCTCCCTATGCTGACATCCATCCCATGAGAGTAAGTGTAAATAAATAGTTTGTTGAATCATTTGTGATTAGTCTCAAATACTCAGCTCTAGATATTTAAGATTTTAAGAACAAAGAACAAGCCTCTGACATGATTGTGTCATAAATATTTTATTTTGGTATTCCACCTGACTTTTAAAACCTATTTGTGTTCCTACAGGCGATCTTCATGATCCCCACCAACCCTCCTCCGACATTCAGGAAGCCGGAGCTTTGGTCAGATGAATTCACAGACTTTGTCAAGAAGTGTCTGGTTAAGAATCCAGAGCAGAGAGCGACCGCAACACAGCTCCTACAGGTTAGAGGAAGGAAGCACACACACATAAACACAACGCTAAAGCTGTATGCAATAGGAGAGACTGTCACATAGGACATGCAAGTGCAACATCATAAATGGAAATAGCTTGAAAAAGAAGTGTCTTCTTGAATACATAACAGTCTAAAACTATATTTATTCATTTAACTACACCATTCAATTAGATGCATATTGCCTAATTTAGTCAAGGAGTTATTTCATAGCCATAATAATATAATATAAGGCTAAATTACCTTTCATACAATTGAGTCACCTCACGTTAACACAAAAATGCTCTTGTGAATGTCCAGCACCAGTTTGTCAGCCAGGCCAAGCCGGTCTCAATCCTGAGGGACCTGATTACTGAGTCCATGGAGATGAAAGCCAAGAGGCAGCAGGAGCAGCAGAGAGAGCTGGAGGAGGAGGACGACAACTCTGTATGTATGCTGACATCTAAACAATGATATTAACTTTGTTTGGACGGCTATTTGTTGATGCCTTATGACTTAATGTTCTCCAGGAGGAGGAGACGGAGGTGGACTCTCACACTATGGTGAAGTCGGGCTCAGAGGGTGCAGGGACCATGCGGGCCACCGGCACCATGAGTGACGGGGCGCAGACCATGATCGAACACGGCAGCACCATGCTGGAGTCAGACCTCGGTACCATGGTCATCAACAGTGATGACGATGATGATGACGATGAAGACCAGGGATCCATGAGAAGTGAGCACACACACAATGTTAATTCACTGGGTTTAGAAATAATTTAATTTGAGTTTCTACCAAACCTTGCTGTTTATTTAAAAAAAAAAAAAGAAGGCTTAGGGACGGGCCGTAAATTAAAATGTATTTTTAACTACGATGTTGGCTTTCATCGGTTATGAAAACACGATTATCATGATGAAACGTTTATATAATTGAAGTGATTATGATGCTTTTGTCTTATTATATTGTGTTAAATAACCGTTATGTCAATGTTAACCAAAATAATAGTGTGTATGATGTATTTGCTGTAATCAAGCATTGTCATTGTTATCAGCTATTATGTTTATTAATACTGTCATACAGGGGGGATGGAAAGGCGAAATCACGTACTAACTAAAGAGACAAATTAATCTCTGCTTCCTCCACAGGGCACCCCACCCCCCAGCAGCCAATGCGTCCGTCCTTCATGGACTATTTCGACAAGCAGGACTCCAACAAGGCAGCGCAGCAGCAGGAGAACTACAACCACAACCAGCCGCAGGAGCAGCCTGGCTACCACATCCAGTCCAAGAACGTCTTCCCTGACAACTGGAAGGTGCCTCAGGACGGAGACTTTGACTTTGTGAGTAACGTCTTCCATGAGCATGTGATGGCTCTGCTTTAATAAAGCAGAAGTTGAACTAAAGGAATAAACTGCAGTGCCTTTGTGGGAAAATTGCAAAACAGAATCTGTTCTTACCCTGAAATCGACTCATCCATCTTGTGTTTTGTCTTTGTGTTTTTTTGTATGTGTGCGTTTTCACCTAGCTGAAGAATTTGGACTTTGAGGAGTTGCAGCTGCGCCTGACAGCCTTGGATCCGATGATGGAGCGGGAGATTGAGGAGCTCCGGCAGCGCTACACCGCCAAAAGGCAGCCCATCCTGGATGCCATGGATGCCAAGAAGAGAAGACAACAGAACTTCTAAGTGCTCCTCCCTTGTAGTCTCCCAAAGCCACTATTAACACAACACTTACGTCCCATTGACTCAGAGGAACTAAGACAACTTTAATGTATCTGTTAGAAGCCCACTGCTGTTCTGACTGACTGCTAGCTGGCCTCTATATGAAGTTAAAGGCTAATTGACATCCATTTAGGCTGCTGGAATCTACAGTTGTCTTCCTTGTTTCTACACTGCATTTTAAATAGTATATTTCAGTTCCTGTAAAGTTGCTTTCCCATGAATGATACTCAGGACTGTGGCCAAAGAGAAAACTAGGGCCTGTCTATATTATGTCTGAAAGTCACACCATAAATTCTGCATAGTCACACCATTGGAGATTTCCCACCGACATCAGGAAGCCTGTCCTCTGGCTGCAGCAGCAGAATAATAGCAGTGGTCTTTTTTCCTCAGACTTTTCACTTTTACTGTAAATATAACATAGAGCCTAGTTTGGAAATACCTGCAAAAGCTGTGGAGGCTTGACCATGACCAAAGACAATCAAGATGATGTTGAGAATGCCTTAAATATTTGAAACCTGGTTTTAAAATGAGCCATGTAATAAAACAACCAAGTCGCCAGGTGGTTTATCTATTCCCTCACTTGGAGATGAGTTGGAAGTGGACTGAGGAAGATGCAAGAATGGACAGAAATGAAGGAAATCATGTGGGGCGGTGAAGAACGGAACATGCATGTTATTATGGAGGACCAGAACATCTGAAATTATTTCATTAGTCTTAATTTTCATTTTTTTAAATTTGTTTTTGGGCTCTTCTCTGCTCTCCATGAATATGAAATCAGAGCTTTTTCTTTTCAAATGATCCACTGTACTTGAATTAAATCCAGACTTGGCAGCAAAATTCATTCCATAGACAAAAAAAAAAGTATTATCATAAAAGCAAAGCATTCCATAAAACTGTTTTATTCTAATGTCCCTCGAGTCTTTAGAAAACCTGCAGATTTACTCTAAGGATCAAAACATTTTTTTTTCTGTTCCACTCAATGATTGATCAACTTAAAATTCCAGTTTGACCTTCTAAAGCTTGCAGAGCAGTTAACAAGACCCTGACAGTTCAGCCCTCAATAAAGATAACTAGATTGCCGAGGAGTCAAATAAACTGTTTTATGGCTCCGTTTATCAAGTTGCGATAAAGGATCCAAGTGAACGACTGACGGTGTTAACTAAAGAAAAACCGCCGGTGCATCAAACCCACATCTACTGTCTAAATTCAAGACTAAGACTTTAAAAATGGAGTTAAGATTTCTTAATCAAATTATCTTTTAGCATTTATCTGTTGTTCCTTTTTTCTACAGTACGGTTTTCTGATTATAACTGAAGGAATGAAGACTTGCTGTGTGTGGTTTGTGACACATGCTTATTTGTCAATTCCTTAACACTATTTAGACTGTTTAGACTGTAAAACTGTGTGATTTAGTCGGGCCAAATGTAAGGAAAGCAAAACTGGCTGTTTAACCGTGCATTTATCTGAAAAAAATCTGTACATTTGATATCAGATTTTCAGTTGAGCTTAATTTCATCAACTTTAATTTGGAAACCCTTGCTGCTCTGACTTCAAGAGGGACACAAACTGCTGTAGTTTAGTTTCGACATATTGATTTGACAGGTGTTAATCTTTGAATGAAATATGCCTTTAAATCCATGTGCATTAGGTCTGCAGGCTGCTGTTATATGAATGTTAATATGCAGTCTTGATGGTTCCGCCCATTCTTACTGCATATTAATAGTCATTTTAATCATACCTTATGCTTGGAACTGTCTGTTACACTAGGTTAGTCTCATTTGGTGGACAATGTACCCATAATGAGCAATAATATGAGACATTTTAAACACCTGAATCAACATTTAAATCACCTTAAATCATCATATCTGAATGTGTTTTTTACCTGTTCTTTCACTATGTTGTTTTCATTAATTCGGTCTGCAGTGCATTGGCAACTTAAACGCAAGCATTCACAATTTATTTATTTATGTTTTTATTTTGTGACGCTGGTTAAAATATTGTAGCTAAGTTGGCTGTTAATATTTCTGCCTTTTGTCAAATATATGTGGCTTGATTTCCACGTGTTAATCTATGCATGTTTATAATTATGTTTACTATTTAGTGGAATGCTTTTGTATTAAGTGCACAGTACTGTTACCATGGAAGCTGGATGTTCAGCTTTAACAGAAATTATTTTCCCTGCACAATTTTAAAAGCCCTGTTTGAAATATGACATTTTGGATGATCTGCCATATGTATAATTATTTGAAAAATCATTGATATATAGCTATATCATTTTGTTTCCATTTATTTCTCTGTTGTTTCCTCTATATAAAGACTTGAGCGTAGAGTGGACTGTAAGCATTTATGTTTGAACCACCTAATTTATTATCTTTTGTTTGTAATACTTTATCTTGAAAGGTGAAAGAAATAATAAAGTTACTTATAGTTAACCATAACACCAGTGGAATGCGTTTATCTTATCTCAGAGTTATAAAAGTGGACTCTCGTAGTGAACATGAATGGCCCCCTGTCTTACCGTAATTATTCTAATACAGACACTGCCATTTTTAGTTTGCACGCCATTTCTTTTTTTAGACACACCGCCTCTGAAATGTGGTGCGCTCTTGTTTACATACATTACGGTAGGATTTACGACAGCAACTGTTTCTGCTGCTTCCTATAAAGTGCTCCATAACGACATCTTCATTCACAGCCACGGTACGGTGTTGAAAGATTGGAGAACTAAACATGGCTGCACTCATCAGAAGGATCGTCAACACAACAGCAGCCCCGGCGGCCATCGGTCCATACAGGTAATGAAACCAGTATAGCTCTTACATGTTATGTTTAAAGGGACACGTGAGGTCCAGAAGCAGGTATACAATGTTTGAATTAATGCATGACTCACAAGGACAGTGTAATTATTCATCAGGGGCGGGTCTTAGTGAACAATGAACTGAAATTGACCCCATAAAAAGAGTCAGAGTTGAACTTGTAGCAGAGGAAGCACTGACTGCACAGTAGAGACACACAGCTGGGTTGAAATGGCATCTATTCGTCGACAAATCCCCTACACACCAAAAGCCCCTATCAGACAGGGCATATACAGGTAAGGATTAATGTCCTCTAAAATACTTTATCTTGTCTTAGTTTTCCATTTTCAGAAATTTAAAAAAGCACGGTTTTGCTTTCTTATAACTTGATTGAACATGTTTCTTAAATACTCAAAAACAATTAATTAACTTGGAGTAAAACAAATTAAAGTGAAGACTCTAGTTTAATTCAATCTGTGCACGGTGTGGGAATGAGGGGAGTTCCTGCTCTAGCCAATCCCCTGTCAGTGGGGGGAGTGACTTCACACTGAATGGCCTCTGATTTACCTATTAGGTTCAAGGTCCCTGGTCTATTGTAATGTCTGGTGGTAAAATGTCTGTGTAATAAAATGTGCCTTTTTAAAACTACCAGAACATATATGTATATCAAATAATGGCTGTTGGACTGATAATACACTCATGTTGTTGAGATATTTAAATTGGATGTGCAGTTTTGTTTCCCAAAATATCTCCAGAAGGCTGCTCACCATTTTCCTAGTATCCTCCAGCTTGATTTGTTTATCTGTGTTTGTGTCTCAGTCAGTCGGTGGTCGTGGACAGAACGATGTACATCTCGGGTCAGCTGGGGATGGACGTTGGTTCTGGTCAGCTGGTAGATGGAGGCGTGCAGGCCCAGACCAAACAGGTGAGACCGCAGAGACCAACTATCTATTTCAGGACTTTGTCTGACGTTTTTTTCAATAAAAGTAATAATTATAACTCCTTCCTTAAGAGATTTACTTTGAACCATCATGATCTTCAAGAAGCACAGTACACAGTATGTGTGCCAGAAACTTTTGACATCCACAGAGAAATTATTCCCTCAATTCATGATTTTATGAATAAGAGCAGTGCTTTTTATTAGCTGTATGAGTCTTAATTATTTTGTAAAAAGGGGTCAAATTCTTTAGTAACCTTGCTTTTTTTAATTAAACAAATGTCTTACTTTAATGTGTTTTTGATATTTTACAATCAAATTTGACCTAGAAACAAAGTAATTAAAATTAAAAAAAAGGTTCCTATTACTCATCCAAATGGCTTTTCAAGCCAAAAAATCTAAAGCACATATTTGAAGAAAATAAATAATGTGAAACGGGATATTAGATATTGATCACAATGTGTGTCATCCCTCAGGCTCTCGTCAATATGGGGGAGATCCTCAAAGCTGCTGGCTGTGACTACACCAACGGTGAGTTTTATGTATTACTCACCTGCTGCTTATTATCATATATATTTAAATGTTCCAACATAACAAACCCTCAGACGGATTAAACTCTCTGATTTCAGTGGTGAAGACGACTGTACTGCTCGCTGATATCAACGACTTCAATGGCGTCAATGAGATCTACAAAACATGTAAGACAATACTTCATTTATTTCCATGCTTAATGCTTTAAATGTTTTGCTACAAAGCAGATTGTAAAAAAAAATACTAGATTTTTCTAATAAAATGTACTGTATGTTTTCTTTTATCTACACTCTTCGGCCACATAGACAGCCTTTATCCAAGATTGTCAGAGCTGCTGTTTCATTTCCACTTGTCATGTCATCTATACAAACAGCTTAGGTTAATTGACATTTATTTCCTGCTGCCATTTACTACAATTGCAATCAAATGATGCATTATAAAACCAAAATAAGTTTTGATTTGATAATTAAATTGGTTAAACTTGATAAGTCTACTTCCTTATTCCTCCTCAAATTATTAATTAATATTTTCATTTTATAGTTAAATATCAAAATTGATTTACAAAAACCTTTTACATTTAATTGTTTTTAATTACATATGCTAGTGTTCATTCCTTTTTTAAATGTACAGTTACCTACATACCTAGCATTTGTTTATGGTTGTATATGTCTTTTTGCCCTTTTTAGCCTTTTTATTAGAGTGACAGTGTTGAAAGGGTTAATAAAGAGAGGTGTAAAGGGACATCCGCATTTTAACTTGCGCTACATGTAAACAGTGTTTCAATTAAACACACAGCTAACTCATAGATCACAATTCACACTCGGTCATTATTCCAGTGGCAAACTCCAGGATCTCTACAGAAAACCCCTGCTGACAGGTGACGGTCCTCTGGAGGCTCCCTCGGCCTCCTGTCACAGGCTGCTCAGTCAGGGCATTTCCTGCTGGATCACAACAGACCTGTGTAATGGAAGCTGCTGTGCCCAGTGAGTTGTAAATGGACACCGCTGTGCAGGCACACAGATGTAACCAAATCCTCAGAGCCAGCTTTCCTGCGCGGGCCATTGCCTCTGGTGCAGGCTCCGAGCCCTCCCACCTGACTTTACTCAACCCTAATGCAGGAAACTTTCCCTGACCCTGATGAAAGCATGCATAGGACATCTTTCTGACTAATTTAGACTTTTCATGACAAGTTCTGTCTGATAAATGTGATTCCTGGCATTTTCATTTGGGGATTTCTATCTATTATAAAAATGATGTTTTCATTTTGTATGAAATGCCAGAAATTCTTACAATGTCTCGAAGTGCAACACCTGAAGCTTTTCTCAATTTGTATTGAAAGCCATCACGTCAAAATCTAATGATCCATTCATATGTACCTGGCTGTTTTTTTCAATATGCTTTTGTTATAATGTTAATGTTTTTCTTCCAGTTTTCACAAGTAACTTTCCTGCCAGAGCTGCCTATCAAGTCGCTGCTCTTCCCAGAGTAAGTACACATTAAGTGGAGGAGATTCATGGTAGCCCATCAAACCGTGTATTTCCTATCATCCATGTTCATCTTTTTACCACCTTGTAATGTTGGTCCCTCACATTTTAGCTCCAGAATTGTTCCATTATCCCTGCAGAGAAGCTGTACATTGTAGTAATCTAATTACCCAGATTGCAAAATTGTTGTCTCATTGTCTCTTTTGTTCTGTTCAGGGCGGGCTGGTGGAGATCGAGGCGGTCGCTGTTCTCGGTCCTCTCTCAGACTCCTGACCAGACGGCCCCATCACCAACAAGCTGTAGCCCAACCATGAAGTGCCTTTTGTAGTTGTACAGTGACAGCCTTTAATGCATTTCCAAATAACACATGAAAGACCAAACTAGGACCTTGTTGACTTTCTTTTTCCAACATTTCAGGCTTTAGGATACATTTGTTTTTCTTCTGGCCGCTGTAACAGCTGACTGTAGTTATGAAATACTTTCATTGGTATTAGACGGAAAATGTAGCAAAACTTAATTCACTAACAAACGAAACTGTAATGATAGACAAGGATTGTATTTTTATAACCAGTCTAACATTTCCTGGTGACCAGATTCAACTTCCTCTTGGTGCTGTTTCTGGTTTGGTTACTTTCCTGTTTTTTCCAGAGACATATTATAACACATTTTAAATGTGCAGCTCTCACTAATAAATAAAAAGAAGTACAACCTCCGATCCTAGAATAATTATTTCACCATTACACATCACATCAGACATAACGTGTGTATTCATCCAGCTTTAAGAAAGTACATGCATTCAATTTTCAAGGTGGCTTTTTTATTTTTTGATATAGCTTATAACAGATTTTGGAAGTTTTTCCCAGAGAGAAATAATGACAGAAACAAAAAAAGCAATTACGCTTTTCTCCTTCATGCTTTTATATAAATGTTAACTGTCATAAGTTTAACTTCATAGTAACAGCTCTTCATACTCATTACAAACTCGTTTGTAAAAATCAAAGCCAGCATCGCAAGTAGAATAATATTTCATAAATCAAATATATTTTGGCTTTGGTTTCCTTAGAGTTATAATTTTGTAGAAAAGTATAGGATGTTTTTTTCAAGTTAAATCAAAGATAATCTATTATTCTATACAGATAATAAATAGACATTTCTATGACAATTTATCATTTAAATTACCCTGAAATGATGAAAACAAACATTAAGTGCCACAGAGCTATTATGAAGGGAACAAGGCACAGTGATGACTGAGGAACCCTGACGGAAAGTCGTTTTTCATCACAGGGTCTGCATCTTGGCAACAAGGCGACATCTTACTCATACTTTTACTCGTGCATACAAACAGAGATGGAAACATCCAACAAACTCTTCTGTGCAGTCGTTCAGGTTGCACCTCACTCACTGGGAGCTGAAAACCAAAAGAGGGGAAACATGTTTAGGTTGCGTAGATGTTTTTGGAAACAATTGCCCATGTGACTATAAAAACATTGGTTTGACTTTAAAGAAAAGACAACTGTTCCAAATTTATTTTTGCAATGCTCTGAGCACCGCAAAAACATTTGATCATTTTTAGCGGAAATCCTAAAATCATACCTATACCTGCATGGCTTGATACAGTAGGTGGAAGTAAATTAATATGTTTGATTGTAATTCAAAAATAACTTTAAGACCAGGGGCCTCATGTATAACGGCGTGCGTAGGATTGACGTGGGAAGGTTGCTTACGTAGTAGAAATCTGAAAAATAGCTCCATAAATGCATTAGATATATATAAACACTAGATGGCTCATGGGAGATTTTCCAGCGTAGCTCACCGGCCGCCATCTTGCTACAGTCAACAGCTACTCTGGTACGCGCTAGGGTAGCTGTTGTAAGGTGAGTGATCTGCACAAAAATACTCTTAAATCGCTGAAATATTGACTGATTTACAAACGGTTTGGTTTATTATAAACATTATTAGCATGGCTATGATACAGGATGCTTGGACATGTTGAAATTGCAGCTTTTCTTTGTGTATGTGCCGTGGTTGTATTTATTAGCTGGCTAATAACAAGAGGCTGTGAGTGAGACCTGGTATTTACAAAGTTGACCCAGCAACTTTACACCAGTGGGAGAGGCATAACTGCTCTTTCTTTTCAACATAACTTAAGTTACACATGATTTCTTCCAAGTGGTTTGGCTTATTAAAAACATCTTACATTTTAGATACAGGAAATTGCTGGCTTTGTGTTTACAGAAGTACCTGACTATGCCTGACTTTTGTGCAGCCTACGGATGCTCTAATCACCGTAGTCTGGAAACAAGAACCAGTGGAATCACCTTTCACCTGTAAGATATGACAAAATTATGACTATAATTAGGATAATCGTTAATTACTTAGTGGATGTATGTGCATTACAAGTCCTGCTACACAGGATCAGTGGGGCTATGTGAGATAATAGTATTGCAAGATTGATGTTGACCCAGCCTCTTTAGAATATGTTGCTACCATTTCTTTACACAATTATTTAATGTTTCTTTTGGACACCTTTTTTATAACTCTTAGTGTGGTTGTCTTATTCTTAAAGTATACATCACATACATACATACATACATACATACATACATACATACATACATACATACATACATACAGTACATACAGTACATACATACAATTACCCCACAAATATGATCATTTCGGTGTGTATTTTTGTCCTTACCCTTAATGTTAAAGGAAAGAAGGGAGGAAAATGTTGAGAATAATTTATATATCTGGCTACCTTTCTCATGTTTTTAAGGTTTCCCAAAAGAGGAGGCAGTGCAGTTGCCCTAAGAAGGGACGGTTTTGTTTCCTCTGGCAGGACACTGCTCTGCAGTGGGCACTTCAGGAGTGAGGACTTTGACAGGACGGGGCAGACTGTCCGGCTTAAAGATGGTGTTGTGCCAACAGTATTCAATTCGGACAGTCTGCCCCGTCCTGTCAAAGTCCTCACTCCTGAAGTGCCCACTGCAGAGCAGTGTCCTNAGGGCGGATGCCCGATGGCACCGATGATAACACGAAGATGACACAACTTGACAAGATTCCCTCACGAGTGCCTTACGAAGTTGCCACTCACAAAGTTGCTGCCGGAGCCAAGAAACTCCACCGGTGGTCATATGAAGACTTAGATGCCCTCACGAATGGCCCGATGTTGCTACGATCACAGCCGAATTTGAACATTTCCTTTATCGTGTGTCCAACGGGTGTCAATTTTCTGGACAGTGTGACAGGGGCTTTAAGGAGTGGGCTCTGTATAGAGAACACTGTTTGCAGTGCATGGACACTTGTCTTTCCATCTTATATATCTTCCCTCTCTCTCATTCTCTTCACACATGCATGTATCACAATTCTAATCATGCCCTTCAATGGACAGTTACTGCTACCTTTTTGCCCCCTTTCCCTCTCTAGAGGGGTACTGATCCCAGGCGTCATATCCCTTCATATTGCCCTTTGTATTCCCAGGAAAAGTCCTGTTATGCAGTTTTGTATGCATAGGCAGCTTGCAGTAGCCCCAGGGCCAAAGGAATGAGCAGGAATTATGCTAATACAGAACCAAAAGTCCGACCCTGAAGACGTTTAAATACACTGTAGAAATCCAGTTTAGTGATCCCTCCTATAACACGACATTTACTATAATACTCAATTCATTATCAGCCATTTACACATGGAAGGCATTGTGTTTTCTCCTCTGAAGATTGTTTGTGTTTGCATCTGTATTGCTCAGTGATGTTGTCATTGGTCCTGTGTCGGGCTGTTGGTATGTGTGTGTATTTGTGTATGTTTCCTATTTTGCTTACTTTTCCTAGTTTTAGATAAAACGTTTGCACCAAATTACACATACCCAATGAATAATTCTAAATACAGAAGAAATGCAGAGATGTATTAGCAGAGAATCGACTTAACCTGTTGAACCCCATCCCTGTTTTTCAGGTCTCAGGCTCGAAAATGACATTTCCAGAACAAATTACCATAACTACACTTCTAAAAGGTGAAAATGTATAATCTTTTTTCTCAAAGTAATGATAAACCTGTGAGTTGGATGTAGAAAAGTCAGAATCAATATAGATGTTTTTTTTATTTTTAAAGAAAATTCAGGTTGAACATAGTTATAGTGTCAGTCCAAAAATTATTTTTTACTTATAGTAAAAACCACCCTTGAATTATGGGATGTGTTGTGGATATTTTAAACTCGTCAATACTGTAAAGATGTACAATGAGAGTAATCAATAATAAACTGGTGAAAGCAGGCAGTGTTGTCTTCTGGTTATTTATTTGAAGCTTCAAAGGTACATGTCTCACAGAGTACAGAGTAGTCTGCAGGAGTGTGCGCAATAGTCACAAAATAGCAAAGCTTATATACAAGATAGGGCGGGCAGACAAAGTTTTGTGTAGCATGGCGGAACGCCTCAGAAATCCACTTTCACACGGTCTCATATCGCTATTTGGACACCTGTGTCCTTGAGCCATAGAAAGTACAACAGTCATCAAAATATGGAAGTTCAAACTTAGTGTGAAAAGGAGTAGTTTCAACATAGTCTGCCAAATCAGCCCTGTGGCCTTGAAGCGCTTGAGAATAATAAACCTCACTAGAGTATGCAGAGGAAACAGCAAATATGAAGAAATGGTACAGTAGTGTTAGACAATGCTTTCAGAAGCATTTGGTTTTAGCATATAAGGTAACACAAGAAATTGCCACTACATCCTCACCCTCCTGAAATCAATGACCATCTCTCTGGTCTTGGCCACATTCAGAATACTCACAACATTAGGCTGAGGTTCATCTTCCGCTCTTCTTGAAGTGGTTGTGCTTCTTGTTGCTAAAATATACATAATTAAAGACATTTTGAGTGTTTAAAATGTGCTGTAATACACAACACATTATTTATTCCTAAACTTGCAGAAAGAAAAACTAAAGTGTGACATTTAATTACATATTTATATATCAATCTTATACACCTTGAATTCTTGTTGGCCAATGATACACATACCCTTTGAAGATGAGCTGGGAAGTTGAATATTGTTGGCACAACACCATCTTTAAGCGGTGTCAAAGTCCTCACAACTGAGGTGATCACTGCAGAGCAGTGTCCTGCCACAGGAAACAAAACCGTCCCTTCTTAGGGCAACTTCCCACTGCCGCCTCCTCTCTCCGGTTTTGGGAAACCTTAAAAACATGAGAAAGGTAGCCAGATATATAAATTATTGTCAACATTGTCCTCCCTTCTTTCCTTTAACATTAAGGGTAAGGACAAAAATACACAACGAAATTATCATATGTTTGGGGTAATTGTATGTATGTATGTATGTATGTATGTCTGTATGTATGTATGTATGTAATGTATACTTTAAGAATAAGACAACCACACTAAGAGTTATAAAAAAGGTGTCCAAAAGAAACATTAAATAATTGTGTAAAGAAATGGTAGCAACATATTCTAAAGAGGCTGGGTCAACATCAATCTTGCAATACTATTATCTCACATAGCCCCACTGATCCTATGTAGCAGGACTTGTCATGTAGCCTACATACATCCACTAAGTAATTAACAATTATCCTAATTATAGTCATAATATTGTCATATCTTACACGTGAAAGGTGATTCCACGGGTTCTTGTTTGCAGACTGCGGCGATTAGAGCATCTGTAGGCTGCACAGAAGTCTGGCATAGTCAGGTACTTCTGTAAACACAAATTCAGCAATTTCCTGTATAATAATGTATCTAAAATGTAAGATGTTTTTAACAAGCCAAACCACTTGGAAGAAATCATGTGTAACTTAAGTTATGTTGAAAAGAAAGAGCAGTTTTGCCTCTCCCACTGGTGTAAAGTTGCTGGGTCAACTTTGTAAATACTAGGTCTCACTCACAGCCTCTTGTTATTAGCCAGCTAATAAATACCACCACCATGGCACATACACAAAGAAAAGCTGCAATTTCAACATGTCCAAGCATCCTGTATCATAGCCATGCTAATAATGTTTATAATAAACCAAACCGTTTGTAAATCAGTCAATATTTCAGCGATTTAAGAGTATTTTTGTGCAGATCACTCACCTTGCAACAGCTACCAGAGCGCGTACCAGAGTAGCTGTTGACTGTAGCAAGATGGCGGCCGGTGAGCTACGCTGGAAAATCTCCCCTGAGCCATCTAGTGTTTATATATATCTATGGTTCTGCCCACCAGGCAGCTATCTTGTGTTTTGTGTTGTTTAGC